AAAATTGTGTTCATCCCTGTGTCATTATAATAAATTATATACCTAATTTCTGCATACATACATATGTGGCTAAAATAAAAATGTTTTTTGGTTATGGCCTTCTTCCAACAAACGAGCGATATAATTACGTTAAGTGCGTTAGTGTTCATAATTAAAAGTAAATAACTTTACCTTATTCGAAACGCTTAAACCAATTCAGTAATTTAATTTGATTTATTGAGAAGCAAATCACTGAATATACATACATATGTATGTACATAAATACATATGCCATATAGATAAATATGTATGTATGTATGTACAAACGTCGATAGATATGAACATTCATTCATTCGTACGTATGCATCTACATACGAGTACGTTTGTACGTTTAAGCAAACAATACCAGTTAAGATATGGATTTTCAAAAGCTAAAAAGCGGCGAGTGGGGCGATCGATCGGCTGCTTGAAGCAGGATCGAATGGCACTTGAGGAACGTCACAGACAGAGTGAATGTCACACATCGTAAATGCCGTAATTCGTTATAACCATTAACAATAATGATTAAAACTGGTTAGCTGGTTTGCGGTAAAAACGGGCTTGTTGCGGCCAATGTCATGCTTTCGAACACTATTTGTATTTGACAATCGAATGGCATTAAATTAGCATACCTAGAATGGCAATTATATAATCTTAGCTTCAACCACTTTTTAATGTAGACCTAAAAAGTCACTAATCGGCAAAAAGTAATTTAAACATATATGTGCCTGTGAATAGCAAAAATCAGGGCTAAAAAATGGAAATTTCAGATTGTACCGAATATCATAAAATAAATGTAATAAATTAAAAAAAAAAGTTACATCATTCGTGTGTAGTCTTTTAATAATATTTTTTAAAATATGAGCACAAAAGGAGGATGTACTTTAAAGTTGATAAGCCTTTTTTAACTTAGCTTATATCTACATACATCCAGAGTAATAGTCTAATGGGAAACGGAAAAGTTTTGTTTTTGCCTAATTTTGGTCCACTGAAAAATATTGGCGAAATAGACCAAAAACACACCTTGCGAAATTTACTTTATTCCAGTCTTGTATAAAACAACTGGAAAAGTCTGCTAATTTATCAGATTCCCTTTAAATTCTGCATCAAAAAGAAAATTTTGAAAAAAATGTCGCTTACGTTATTTTGACGGTTAGGGCTCGATATATTCCAGAAATCAAATAGCGAATATTGGTCAAATAGCTATTGCCTCCATATGAGGCCCTCACCTACAGAAAATATGAAATTTGAATAAATCCTAGACCCAGAACTGTACAGGCGAATAAAACCAATAGAAAAGTTAAAAATGTTCTCATATGCGGGCAACTTTAGCTTTTATGGTTTCAATAGACTAAAAAATGCATTCCAACAATTGCAAAGATAGAGCGTTTGTAGATTTCACACCATCAAGGGGACCTTCTCCCCTAGGGTGCAATGACGTTTTATGGAAGAAATTAATTCCAATTACGAATATAAAAAATATAACAAAAATTACGAGTTTTAGGATAGCTAAGTAAAGTGTTAATTTTTCGTAGTAGCTGTTCTAAATGCAATTTAAAATGTTTAAGAGAATACATAATATGATTTCGTTGATTTCTTCCTTTTGACCACTTTTCCCCACTTTTTCCCATGCCGACAAGTAAATATATTATCACAGTAATGGAAATAGAAAAAAATATGAATAAAAATTCACTTAATCAAAAGATGATTGTACCTAAAATCAAGTGATTGTACCTAAATAATGTACCTTTGAGTCAGCAAACGCCGGAAAAAGGTACAATTGTACCTACGCTTTCATCCCTGGTATATATGTGTGTATGCCTTCTAGTCATTTAGGGATGGCACTGGTTTAAGCTTTACCCCCAATGCGTGGGTTCGACCACGTCGAGACGAGGAGGCGCAAGGATTTATTTTGTTTACTGATTTGCAGGGTTACCTTGATGAGTTTGGGTTCCGGTTTTTCTTCCTCCACTCCATCGTGGTTTCAAGTTCCAACGAACGAGGCATCATTACAACTTCCGAAAGTACTTTATGTTCCTGGCGCATTTTAGAGCCAGAATGTCCAATACGTGGAAAGCACCGCAAAAAAAGCACACAACCAAGCGCCAACGGAACACTCACTATGCACTTTCAATTTCAATGGAAAAGAAAGACAAATACAATGTATGAAATGTATCAATCAAATATTTGTTTTTTTTTTTTTTGTTTAAATAGCCAAAACGAGCAGTTCTCCTCACAGCCAATTAAAACTTGTTTTACTTTATCATCGGCATGTCTTCATGTCACACAGACTTTTAATTTGCCAACCGGCTAATCAACGTAACCCTGTTTGGCCGCCCAGCCTCCAACACTGTTGGTTACTAAGCCACGCATGCGCGCTGACATGTTTAGCTGATTAACTACTTATGAATATGCATGCATGTACATAGGCGTAAGGTATCTGCGCATATGTAAATATATTTGATATTACCTGTCGAACTGGCACCTTATTAGTATTTATGCGAAAGCTATTTTCTCTTTCATTTCAGTTTTAATTTGTTCATTTGAAACCATTTGCCTCAATGAAATCTTTCGCAAAAGTCGTGCCATATTTACAGACTGAAAATTCATCAGTGCCATAGTGGCAACGTTCGCCGGTATGGTGAATAAAAGAAGAAGATAAAAACGAAGCACATTAGTTCGCCTCATAAGACGTGATTTTGCAATATTTTTGTGCATCAATTTTTCTTTGCTCTTTATGTGGTGGTGCACAGTGACCGATTGGCACAGTGTTCTGGCAGCGGCCAAGCATTTGCTTATTGGATACACGTTTGTTAAAAATATCAAACATCTACTTCTTAAGAATTTCGTTTTTCGTTTCAGCTTAGTTAATAAAAATTTTCTGAAACTTATTCTGAAGAGGGGGATTCACGGAAAACCGTTTGCGAAAGCTTTTAAAAGTTTTTAAACAAATTTTTAGGAACAACGTCAGGAACAGTTTCCTAAATTTTCTTGTTTCTGATAAATGGAAAGAAATGATAAATTAAACGAATAGCACCTTAGTCGACATTCATTCTCGCTTAGCCAAGTTGGCAGTCCTGTTAGTGCGACGATTGATCTCAACCGCTCGCCGTCAATCCTAGTAAGACAGAACTCGTCTTATTCACCAGGAAGTCAATGCAACTCTTCCTAAATAAACTGAGAAAGACATCGGTAGCTTTATATAGGGGAGCTATTACTAAGAAATAGGGTATCTCGCACAAAGTGATTTCTTGTCGCTACGACACCACAGTTATGGTCTGATTATGGCAACTTAACGTAACTTACAGGCTCTCACTTGAAAATTATCTTAAATGGATGTTGCTTACAATTGAACAGTCGAAACTTAACGTAACTTAAGGCTACGTTCATTTTGATTTTCTTGGTTCTAAGTTCTAAGTTCCGTTAAGTAAAGTTGGCATAATCAGGATTTTAAGCGGATTAACTAATAATAATAACGGAGGAACTAATATTCGACAGAAATCGGATGCAGAGCTCACTGATGGTACGTTCAGAATTGGTCGCGGAAAGCTTGACCTCCTCCATTTGTTAGAAATATCCTGTAAAAATAAAAGCTGCCAGCCTGAAAGCAGTTTTGTGAAGTTTCTTATGGAAACTGGTGAAAAGCGTCGGAGCCGCTAAATCCATAAAATTAAGAAAATACCTAATTTCGAACTACAGTGCGGCACTTGGTGCTCTACTTCAACACCTTACACCCCTGCGCTGTAAAGCTCCACATAAAGTGTAGGGTAGCAGTGGCAACAGTTGCTATTATTGAATAATTGCCTCATTCCGGTTAACTGTGCTAGTGTTGCTGGCATGCCAACATATATTTGATATATGTATATGAAAAAGCAACAAAAGCAAATACATATGTACATATGTACCCACATAAATATATGTAGTGCACATCACTGCTCACGAGATGCAACATTCATAAATTATTAATACATACATTACAACCCAGCCAGCATTTCAATCATAAAATCAATCATTTTATGCGCCCACCTAATCGCAGAGTAACTACGAATATAAAGCCAGCCGCAGCAACGGTTCAAACAAATTTTTATAAAGAATAAAATAAACCGGTTTTCCTAAGAGACAGCTTTGCAAACCGCGCAATCCGTGCACCGTGCAAGCGCTTTGCAAGACTGCGAGAATATCCCTATTTTATTTAAAAAAAAAACGCGCCACAGAAAAAAAAGTGGCTTGAACAACTTGTAACAAACAATTTCACCAAAACTTCTTCCAAATGCTGACTGGTATTTGCAGCGCCAATGAGGGTACAAGCAAATAAGTGTATGAGTATGAGGTGGTACTTATGGAATAACAAAATGACCAACGAAAAAATTCTATTAAAAGTGGCGATATATCTATATTTTTGGGCTAGAAATTGTCTAATCGACGCTAGGCATTTGCTGCGAAACACTATCGAACTAAGTTTTGTTTGGTAAAAATTAATTCTGAGAAAAATCGTCTAGCAATACGCATTTGGTATATATTTAGTACTCGTAGAAGTACAATATCTATATTGTAGTTTTCCGTAGCTACGTAGCAATAATCATTCGTAGCACGAGGGTGGTACACTTGTAGTATAGAACGCAGTATCAATACTATACAACGAATATGAATAGTGAAGAAGTTAAGACTATTTTTATTATATTTTACACTGCGGTCTGCAGATTTATGAATACTCGTACGCCGTGTTTGATTGGTATTCTTGACCGTTTGAGGCCTATGATATTTTTTTTTAGAAAAATTAATGTACATACCCATGTTCTTTGTCATCTACCCACCTCAATTTGTTCATATATATGAATG